CGCCTGTTGTCGCCATCTACTACCTGTAACCATCGTCATTTGCGGGTGCGACGTCGCACGCCCACCAGCGCGGTGAATTACGATTCTCTCGTCACATACCCCCTAACACGCAGTGTCTAACGCGTTTCCCCCCACGCGTCGACTATATCTAGCGTCAACTCGATGCCACCACTCGCTCACAATGATCGATGGGAGTGATTTATGCTCCTGAGCGATTCTTCTGATGCGAACGGCCCCTTGCCTGTTTTTCAGAGCTTTTGGTTACTTCACCATCGGAACTAGTAAAACTCGTGGTTGCTTGCAGTGCGTTGGTCATTTACCACCACGTACTTGTTGAACAGAACGATGTCAGGCAGCCACACTTTGTCCGGCTGCACTCGAATTTGTCTGATTTCACCGTATTTCACTGGATTCCAACGCATTTGAAAATCGTGCCATTTCTAAAATTGAGCTTGAATGACACGAAATCGATTATTGAATCCGAAAAGCCATTCACATACTAGTGTTAACCACACGTTTGTATGCATCACTTGGTCCTTTTCGTCCTGAAAAGTGTAGAGATGAATGCCAGCAAATTCTAGGCTGAAGTTGCTACGTTCGGAGAGTTTACCAAAAAGCTTTATTCTGAATTGTTTTGTAAATAATCCAACACTCTCTTTGAAAGGTGTGAAATGTAGCAGTGGTGCGAGTACCCACCCTCACTCGGGCTGTTGGAGAGTATGTTCCCAGATCTATTGCGCTGACGCTAGTGACCCATTCCCCTCACCGTGGTAGGCTGGCTGATAGCAGGGTCGTCTAGGAAGAACCTCCCAGACCTTCTCTTTCAAGAGATATCAATGGTTTTCGCTATTTTGAGCAACTGACGTGTGCTAGGTGGATGCAGACTCTCCACTCTCGTTTAGCCAGTACGAAAAAGCTGTTCTTAAAGATCTGAATGCCTTGCCCAAGGGAGCTATGAGGATTTTCGCTTTGCTCATAAGTGGGTTCCTTTTTCATGTACAGAGTATGCGTGAGGATACCCACACCAAAAGCCGCCTGGGCTCACTGCTCGCATAAAAGTATGTACCAGTTCTGAGCTCAGATGTGCTATGCAAAAAGAAAGGCTCACCACATTGATAAGCAGAACAAGTTGCAGTGCGATTTTCACGATGATT